TTCGTTCTGTCATAAATAAAAGCAAGAGTCAGCAGAAAAAAACGACTACTTTATATTCTCTCAATCGAACATGGAAGAAGTTCCACTTTATTTTTACCACCATACCGAACCATTTGGTGAATTCAGTAATTTCTATCCATCTCCCATTGAACTCGATGGATATACTTGGCCTACCACTGAACATTACTACCAAGCTCAGAAATTTATCTCCAATAAAACACATTTTCAGAATGTTTTGCAGTTACCTAAACCTATAGCAGCTCTTTTATATTCTCGAAAACATCGATCAGCAATACGATCGGATTGGGAACAAGTGAAAGATGAAATCATGCTGAAAGCATGTATGGCTAAATTTGAACAACATCTTTGGCCTCGTGTATTATTATTATCAACTGGAGATCGTCAATTGGTTGAACATACGAGAAAAGATTCGTATTGGGGAGATGGAGGTGATGGTAGTGGAAGAAATCAATTGGGACTTACTTTGATGCAAGTTAGAAACAATCTGAAAGACAAACAATCGTAATTTGTATCTATTTAGCAAAGTTTTCTTTTCGTATACATTGATAAGAGTGATGATGATTGAGAGAAAACTATTCGTTTTGTTTTGAGTCATCAAACATTTTGGGTGAAGAGCATCATATAAAGTGTCCGATGTGGGAGAAATACCTAAAACAGATTTTGTGTCGATAAATTCGTTTCTTATGTACTATCGGACACTGTAAACATTCAACTTCTTCAAAGAAAATGAAAATGTTATTCATGTTTGGGTGGATGTGGGGTGTGGGTGTGGGGTGCGGATGTGGGGTGTGGATGGGTGTGGATGGTGTGGGTGTGCGTATAGGTGGGTGTAGATGTGGGTGGGTGTGAGTGGGTGGGTGTGGGTGGGTGGATGTGAGTGGGTCGGTGTGGGTGTGGGTGCGTGGGTGTGGGTGTAACAGAACGGAAGACTCACACCCAGACGGACACCCACACTTACACCCTCAGACCAACACCCACACCCACACCCACACCCAGCCACCCACACTTACACCCTCAGACCAACACCCACACCTACACCCACACCCAGCCACCCACACCCACACCCACCCACCCACACCCACACCCACACCCTATTTTTTCTATGTATTTTACATAGACTGTTTTTATTAGGAACGTTTTTTCGCTGGTTGTTCGTATTAGGAACAGTGTTCCTAATAAGAACAGGCGATGAATTTTTAAAAATGTAATAACTCAGTTATTACAAATGGGAAAAATCTGAACCTTTGGATTTAATGGTATCGATTGATGAAGAACATTTTTTGTTAAAGAAGTATATCAAAATTTTTTATTCTTAGAATAAAAAAGTCGATTTACAAAAAAAATTTCAATTTCTATGTATTTTACATAGAATGTTCTTATTAGGAACATTGTTTGGCTTGTTGTTCTTATTAAGAACAGAGCTCCTAATAAGAACAAATTCAATTACTCGCAAACTACCGCTAATTACTTAATTACTTTTCAAGATAATTAGCTAATTTTTACATCCTTCGATGCAGCAGACATTTCTGCACTCAAGCATGTAAAAATTATTTTTTTATGATGAGAAATGACTTAGTAAACAAGGAGTTACTCACACTTCCGAAAAACTTGTTCTTATTAGGAACATTGACTGTATTGTTTGGCTTCATTGATTGTTGAAAAATAGAAGTTGAAACGAGCAGATTGATTTTTATTAAAAATAATACAAACCGACTTGTTTTCCAATGATTTTCCCGTGTTCACGTTCTTTGTCATAAAAGTTTTATTTGTTTTGCTTTCAGTACAATGAATTTATCAATAGTGCTATCTGACAAAAAGGAGAGTTTTCGCAATACAAGGACATGTCCTTAAGGAATTATTCAGTTGTTCGCAAGGAATAATTCGTTCTGTGGTGGCACAAAGGAGAGAATGGTAAATAATAAATGAGTCGCTCAGTGCATTCATTAGAAGTTAGCTGCTTATGACAGTAAACAGCTCAACAAAGTTTTCTAATAAAACAGAAGTACATCGAGTATTTTAATTATCATTTTTGTCTTGTTACCTTTCTGTATTTTCATTTATCAAAAAAAAAAATGTTCTATGTTCATATTTCATTTCATTCTTAAGTGCTCCACGAGAGATGATATCAAATCATTCTAAAGAGTAGAAATCATTTCGAACATGATCAACAATATTCAATCACCATTTAGCATTAAATGTAAAAATATTTGCAATGATCTACAAGTTTTTCACTCTTCGCTTCGCAAATAATTTTATTTAAGAGAAAAAAAGGATAATGAATACGATTAAGAGAAATGATATAATTTGAAAATTTCTCGAATAAACGTAAATAGAATGTATTTCAATTGCGAGCAATTTCAGCATAAATTTGAACAAGGTCAGCTGAGTCTTTCAATTCTTTGAATGTACCATCCATTGTTCTATTTATCTCTTCTAAATTATTCATTTTTGTGTCACCAAGAGCTACAGTCCAAAATGCAAAAATTCTTTCTTTCATCATTAATAGTTCTTGTAATTGACTGTCAGGATATTCAGCGTCTCCATCACTCATAAATATAATAATATAGTCTAACTTTTCATTAGCATTAGCTGAGGAATTCTTCTCTTCCATACTTTTAATTGTAAGTATTACTAAATTGAATGCATTGCCAAAATGTGTACCACCGTTCATAAACTGTATATTATTTACATCGATAGTTTTAATGTCAACATTATAGTAGGCATATGTGGCATGATTTTCAAAAGTTATAATGGTGATACGGTCTGCTGAACCGGATTCAGTGCGCACATTCACAAACTCTTTAACACCATCGAGTAAATCTTTCCATGGTTTGCCATTTTTTATACCCATAGATCCTGAAGAATCGAGTACTAATATGTAATGAAATGGTTTGGGAGCGGCCTGAGGGGTATTTTGTGTAACAAACTTCATTTCATACATTTTACATAAAATTGCGCCAATTTTACTCCAAACATTAAGAAGTTTTCCACGCAATTTGAATAACTCTTCTTGTGTAATTGAATTGCCGAAGTCCCAATCAGCATGCTCATTTTTAAATTCTGACCATTTTTTCTTTGTTCCTCGAAATATAATTGGTTTACTGTCACTCATTTCTTCACATTGAAATAATGATGCTTCATTTGAAATTTCAAATTTCATACCAGCCATAGCTCGTAATTGATGACCAGTTTGGCAGGCATGGCGATTATCTTCATCGCCTAAATTAATAATGAGAAAATAAATAAAAATTAAAAGAAATGAACACCAGAATTCGAAGACACGTAAAATTACCATTACAGTCACGATCAGCAATCTCTCTGTAGAAAGATATGGTTAAAAAATTAGATCGAACTTTCGACTGACAAAACTAGTTTTTCCTAGATAAATTATGTATCACTGAATAAGCTCTATTTCCCTCAAATTTGCGAAAAGTAATGTGAAAATTTATTTCTGTCACCATACCTGAATTAGATATTATCTTAGTATGATCAACATCACAAGGTCTTTGACAACAAGGACATTTTGAAGTACACCCACGTGCTTTGTCCAATAATTTATTATAAATTTGATCTTTATCAAAGGCTGCAAATGTGGCTGGAGCTTTATCAAACGAACATTCAACTTTGCTTTTAGAATTTATAATACTTTCAAGAAAATATTTCAAATTTTTTATTGAAGCTATTACCATTTGATTATTATTCGAATTATCAGCGTCACGCATTCCTTTTATTAAATTAGTTAATTCAGTACTTGGTGCTGGTAACTTTTCAAATAATTTCACTCCTTTTGGTTTTAAAGTATATGTTTTGTCAAATACAGTATAAGAGGTTCCAGGAGCAATTTTATTACCAGATAAATATGTAAATAATAATAAAACCATACATTGACCTTTATTTTTCAAATTATCCGCTGCAGCTCCTCCTGATGCTTCAAATATGTCATCAATATATTGTACAGATGCTCCTTCATTTGCAAGTGAAGAGAACATAAATTCTATACGATTGAAAAATTCCAGTAATATATTTTTCCACTGATTTTTTTCTTTTATTAATTGATGATTAATTGTTTCTTCTATTGGTTTCCATAATTCTTTAAATTCTTCTTCGATAATTTCAGTCGGTGCAAGAATATAACGGACTAGCCAAGGAGCCTTCTTGATATCTTCAGATGATAAAGTGTCCTTTTCTAAAAGTGCAGCTAAAGAAGGATTATCTTTTTCTGCTGCAGCATATATTTTCCCATCACAGATCATTTGAATATATTTTCGAGTTAGATTTTTTTGTGCTTCAATATTGCGCGTTATAATTTTTTGTCCATCGCGCATTAAGTTCGATTCAACAATACTTTTGACCTTATTTGCAAAAAGCTCTGCTCCATCTTGATCACATTCTGCATCAGGTACAACCATACTAATAAAATAATTTAATAATGAGTCTTTTTCCTTATTCAATATTGAAATTTGCTGAAGAAAATGATTTTTTTGCTCATCAAAATAAATTACTGTTATTAGAATCAGCATATGAACATGAATAGATGATTTAACTGTGTGCGATAGTAGTAAGTTAAAAATAACTAACTCTTGATTGACTTCATTGATATATGTGTGAATCAATCCCAAAATTTTTTGTATAAGATCAATTTCAATGGGCCGACAAACTGTATCATTTCCACTTATTATTGTTATCGTATCGTCAATAATTTTATGAAAGAATTCTGGAATGTTAAAAATGTTTGACTTCGCATTTGGATCAGTCATAATTTCATTCTTAATCGTTTCATGGACATACTTCATAAAATCGAATCTTAATGGAGGTGGATTGTTAGCTGTTGAACTTTTGTTTGAAGTCTTCGATGATGATTTTAAGCCCAAACGTTTTCTAACAGCACTGCAACCTTTATGAAACCAACTGTCGTTTTCTGTTGCTCTTTGATTATAATCTTCATAAAGTGGTTCAGATTCCATCGGTTCCATCATAGTATTTTCTTGTTGCGCAGTGCCTGCGGTATGAAGACCAGTCAATATTTGTTTGCTTAAATGTTTAAAGTTGTGAAGTGTTGCCAATGTGTATACAGAAATGGAATCAGATTTATTCCGAGGAAACTCCAGAGCATTTTCGCGTTCTTTTGATACGATGTCAACAAAAGTATGCTCTATTGAACCGGCAACTTCTTTCAAATCTTGTTCTCCAATCAAGCGATTAATGAATGGTAATTGACTAAGTACGAACTCATGAGATGGTAAAGATTCTTTTTCAAAAATATTATAATTTCCATAAACGAATGTAATAGCTTGTTTCAAACGTTCTTCTGGTTTAAAATTACTTTCAATAGAATCAATTTTTCTAGCCCACATGTTCTGAAACTCTGTTGTTGCTTTTGATTTAGTCATAGTTTCTCCACGTTTAATAATATCATCTATTAGATGACGAAGATCAGCAGAACCATCTCGAACAAGACTTTCCATTTGTTTATGGTCATGTGCTTGTATAGCTGCTGTACACCATGCGTTACAAAACTCTGTTATTTGTCGTTTCAAAAATTGTCTACATCTATCTCTAATACGATCTGATGCATTTGTAACTTTAAAAAGATTTTCCAAATCATTATCAAACTCATCTTGATGTATATTAAATCGAACTTGAAAATGTTGTCGTATTTCATGCTCAGTTAAGTGACATGTATCCCGAATAATGGTTTCACAATAAGTTGACGATAATTTTTTTGCTATAAGATCACCTATTGTTTTTCTTATTTGATCATCTTGTCGACGTTCATTAATATCTTTAAAATAGGTTAAATCTGGAAATTTCTGTAAGGTATCAAAGATATTTACAGCTATTCTAAGCCATTGTGGTGGATCTGAAAATATATTAACAGTTCTTTCGTAGGATAACTTAGCCGATTGAATAATTTTCTCACAAAGTTCCTGTGTACGTTCGATAAAATCTGGTTCTGTACGTAGAAGGCATGGGCTGTTAGTATCAGCGGTGGATATTCGCTCTTTTTTAAATGCTGATGGTAATGTATGGAACGTTTCTGAACTAATATCAATAACTTCAGCTAATCTTTTTTCTTTTAGATCGCCAATTATTTTTAGAATAGCTTGCATATGATTCTTTAAGTTGGGATCAGCTCTTTGATTTAAAACAAAATGTACTATAGGTTGATTAGCAGTATTAACACCAATTTGCTTTAATGAATCAGCACATAATGTTAACATATCTTTTAATGTTTCATTTATGTCACCCGTCATATTTACAATCACTAAATGTGATACAGCTAGACAAAATAAAACTAAACGTCGACCATATTCTTTATCGTCCTTTTCAATGGATAAAAGACCTTCAGTATCAATTAACATGATATAATCAATGTCTGCCGTTTTTCCATTTCCATTCGTTTTTAAGATGTTCTTAATCATCTGATCTGATTTATTTATTTTAACTAAGGAACCATAAATACCTCGTGTACAACGTCCTTCTCTAACATCAAATAATGTTCCAAACATATAATTTAATAAAGTACTTTTACCACTATTTTGTGGACCAATAATACTAATAACCAATATATGTTGTGAACTAAATTCATTTAAAATTTCTGTTAAAAATTGATGATGAAAATGGAAATTATCACCATCAATTATTTCAAATGGAAAACCAGCTGCAATATAATTATGGTAAGATTTCTTTATTAAATTTTGTATATCGGGCTTTGTATGTGCGTAACAAACAATTGAATTACGCCAAAGTACTTCCAATGACAAAAATGAATTTTCTACTGATAAATCACAAGCCAATTTATCTCCACCTAAATTTAATAATTCGCATTTCAATTCTGATGCTAATAAATCTAAACTCATTAACATATTTTCTGATTTTAATATTCCCTCTACTGAAAGGAGGGTCATACGCTGAGTGAGCTATATTCGTTCGTTCGTATGTTCGTATGTTCGTATGTTCGTATGTTCGTTCGTGTGTTCGTATGTTCGCTCGTATATTCGTTCGATCGTAGTATCACCTGGGTGATTCATTCACCACGTAAAATAAATTCGTCAAAGGTTTTCGGGGTCGAGGAATTCAAATCTGCTATTAGTTTTTAAAAATTTTGCATCAAATTTTTTTTTATAAAAAAGCATTTTTTTAGGAAAAAATTGATTTTTTATAAAGTTTGACCAAAGGTTTTCGGGGTCGAGGAATTCAAATCTGCTATTGAGTAAATCCATGGGAAACGTACCACGTTTACATCGACTTTCTCAGAATTGACTGAAATTTTCAGAGTTTGTAGAGCTCAATGAGCTGATCATTTTGGTAATAAATTATTATGGGTTTGATTATAGATTAGGGTTGAAATAGGCAAAATACATTTTTCAAAAATTCCGGAAAATCATGGTTAAAGTGAAAAGTTCTCACTTTTGCGAGAACATTTTCTCTTTTATTTCAAGAACAAATTGAAACATTCTATATATATTCTGATAGCCCATGCTCAGCTCTATCGAATCATAAATGATTCAAAATGTTTCCATTTTTAAAAAAAAATTTTTAATTGAACCACAAAAAGTTCACTGCAACACAAACTTTATCTTCTAATAAAAAACTCCTTCCGAATTTGGGTGAATTGTGATCTAGTAGGTTTTGTAGAGCGTCAAACGCTCTATCTTGTGGCATATAGAGGTTTGCAGTCGTTTTCCGTTTTCGTGCATTAGAGAGCCAAAATGTTTATCTACTGCTGCTTTGTGAAGGTTTTAGTTCATATTTCTGGACTTTTCAAAAGAAAAACTCAATAAACTAATCTGAAACTTTATCCTCAAAGAAATCTCACTTATTAGAGTAGTAGTTATAAAAAATTGATTGACATTTTTTTCTCTTTCATATCATTCTACGATAGTAAAATGTCACAAGTCACGTTTGAACTCTTGATTGTTCAAACGAGAAGGGTCGTTAATCGATGAAATTGACCGCCTCCTGAAATCAAGTTTTATATTCTTCAAATAGTCGATTAAAGTTCGAATTAGTGAATTTGCCTTAGTTATAGCTATGCACGAAGGGCCAAAAAATATTATATTGTCTATTACCTGGCCAGTTGCAATATGCTGTGTTTCCATAAAGTATATTGACTCTGTTGACATCCTTTAATTTGAGTAAAATACCAAATAAAAGGTTGTTTTTTTTCGCTATCGAATGATATATAATAGTATGAGAAAATACTTTTCTTTCATTGTTTTCTTGAGATGACCTTGTACACTACTATATGACACTTTATTGGTATTGATGAAAGTCCTATGTTAAGGTACAAAAGAAATACAGATCCAACTTGAGTAAGGTACTATTCGGTAGCCCTTTGGAAGCTCTACAAAACTATGCTATTACAATGAGTTTAGGGTGTGGGAAAGATAGTTAACCCAAAGGCATAGTGCTGTAGGATGCCAAAAATTCAATTTTTTCGGTTATTTGTGATTCATTTTTGCTTGCAATATCCGGCTCTATGTTTGGAAAAATGACATATTTAAAAGCAGCAT